TTTATTGATTTCAGAGGAAGGGAGAGGGAGAGAGATAGAAACATCAATGATGAGAGAGAATCATTGATTGCCTCCTGCACGCCCCCTACTGGGGAGGAGCCCACAACCCAGGCATATGCTCTTGACCAGAACAAATCCTGGACCCTTCAGTCCGCAGGCCGCCCCTCTATCCACTGAGCCACACCAGCCAGGGCCCAAGGGAGGAGTCTTTGGAGAGGATACCTTTGGCTCTGGGCTAGCGGCCCTTTGAGGAAATGCACGCAGGACAGAAGGCAAGTCCACAGCCCCTCAGCCTCTGCAAAGAGTCAGATCCACGGAGATGGGACGGGAAGCCCTTAGAACACAACCCCGGCTTCACAATCCCAGCCCCAGCATCCGGGTGCCCCCTGCCAGGTTACCATGGAAACACAGCATGGGCCACGCCTTCTCAGTCCACCCACTCGTGTCAGTCTTGGCACCAGATGCCTGTATCTAAGAAGCTCCAAGGGCGAGGGCACAGCTTTGGTGGGACGCGTCAGAGCTCAGGCCGGAAGGGTAGAAAGCAATTTCTCTCTCCTCGGTTTCCCCACCGCAGGCCTTCTGCCCAACGTGGACGCTTTGAAATAGACCTGTGTTGCCCTGGCTGGTGTGGCTCAGTGGATAGAGCATCAGCCTGTGGACTGAAGAGTCACGGGTTTGATTCCGGTCAAGGGCACATGCCCGGGTTGCAGGCTCGATCCCTCATAGGGGGTGTGCAGGAGGCAGCCGATCCATGATTCTCTCTTATCATTGATGTTTCTCTCTCTCCCTCTCCCTTCCTCTCTGAAATCAATAAAAATGTATTAAAAAAAAAAAAAAGAGAGAGAGAGAGAGATAGACCTGTGCCCCATGCACGGCAGCAGGTTACAATCAGAAAACCCTTAGCTGCCGCAAAGCAACGTATCCCAGGCGGGCCTGCCTTTGTGGGCGTGGCCACTCATGTGATGCCAGGAGGCTCGGGCACTGCGAGGGGAGGCGTCATTATTTCTCTTAAAGCCTCACGAGCTGGCCTTGCCCGTCTCACTGCCTCCCAACAATCACATCAAAACATTCGGACATCAGCCCTAGCCCGTGTGGCCCAGTGGATAGAGCGTCGGCCTGCGGACCAGAGGGCCCCAGGTTCCATTCCGGTCAAGGGCATGTACCTGGGTTGCCGGCTCCTCCTTGGCCCAGGCCCTGGTCGGGGCTCGTGCAGGAAGCAACCAATCGATGTGTTTCAGTCTCCTGGATGCTTGTCTCTGTCTTCCCTCTCTCTTTCACTCTCTCTGAAAATCAATGGAAAAATATCCTCGGGTGAGGATTAAAAAAACAAACAAACAAAACATCTGAACATCAAATGTCAGATAAGGTTTGCTTTGGTCTCGGTCCAAACCATATGTCACGCTTTGAACAAAGACCGACTTCGGGGTTATTTGATGGAGGATTTGTCTGTCTCTGCGTGGGACGGGGAAGCAGCTGTGGGTCAAATTCTGATGGCGTGGGGGCAGTGCTTGCAACTGTGAGCTCTAGGGAGACACGCCCCCTGCCCTAGCGTGTAACCACGCCCTCTGCGGCTGATATCCTCACCCAGCTGGGCCATTGTCTTTCTCACAGTTGGTTGTCGAACATCATCAATGAAAGCCTTCTCTTCTATCTGGAGATGCAACCGGACATCAACGGAGGCGCTTTGAAATATGTCAGAAATGCGGCCAAGACCACGTGGTTTATTATGGTAGGTCAATCCTGATTGTAAATTTTCCTCTTGCAAAATAAAACCCAGCCCTGGCCCATGTGACTCGGTTGGTTGAGCGTCATCCCTGCACCGAAAGATTCGGGTTCCATTCTCGCTCAGGGCACATGCCCAGGAGGGGGTGTGCAGGAGGCAGCCTGTCCCTGTTTCTCTCTCCTTGATGTTTCTCTCTCTCTTCCTCTCTCTGAAATGAATGTAAAAATACGTTTTAAAAGATTATAAATGTAGCCCTGGCCGGTTTGGCTCAGTGTGTCTCTCTCATGTCGATATTTCTTTCCTTCCGCTCTCTCTGGAAATCAATGGAAAAAATATCCTCTGGTAAGGATTAAAAATATATATATAAACGTAAAAAATTATACTAAATACAGCTACATAATAACACATATCAAAATATATTGGCTAGAAATACACGCGATGGTCAGGTGGAAGCACATGCGTTTATAATAAAGACACAAACATGGGCCGGGCATGTGGCTCAGGGGTTGAGCATCAACCTATGAACCAGGAGGTCACGATTGGATTCCTGGTCAGGGCACATGCCCAGGTTGCAGGCTCCATCCCCAGTGGGGCATGCAGGAGGCAGCCGACCCATGATTCTCTCTCATCATTGATGTTTCTCTCTCTCCCTCTCCCTTCCTCTCTGAAATCCATAAAAATATTTTAAAAAATACAAACAGGAGCTCTCGGTGGAAAAATACACCATGTCCCACACAGACCTGATTTTGATGGCGCTTCAAAATCGGAGGAAATCTGATTGGCAAGGACTTGGAAGCAAGACCAGCGCTCCTGCCTCCCCCGGGCTGTGCCTGCCAGTGGCTTGGTGCCTTGGCTCAGGTCTTGTGTGGGTACCGCTCAGAAGCGAGGACCGGTTCCCTGCCTGCGGTGGCCTCAGGAGCCTGCGACATCAACCCGCTCGGACACTGCAGGCGAGGCCAGCAGGGGCGCGCCGCCTGCTGCCCGCGCTCACCTCACCGCGGTCTCCCTGTCCCCTCCAGGGCATACTGAATCCCGCCCAAGGGTTCCTCTTGTCGCTGGCCTTCTACGGCTGGACCGGATGCCGCCTGGACTTGCAGTCTCCCAGGAAGGAGATCCAGTGGGAGCCCATGACCAGCTCGGCCGCCGAGCGGGCCTGCCCCGCCCACCAGGGCCGCTGCACGCCTGGTGACAGCCCCGCTTCCAGGAAGGTGGCACGTGTGGGCGGGCACACGTCGGACGAGGCCCTGAGCATGCTGTCTGGAGGTGAGGCCCCGGCTGCGAGGCAGGCGAGCTGCGGGGTCCAGGGCTCCCCCAAGGCTCGTCAGCAACCAAGGTGAGGTGAGGTGGGGTGGAGGTGGTGGCTGTCACCTCCCTCACGCCCGTCGGGGTGTACATGGAGCATCACAGTGCCCCACACTGGTGCCAGTCTTGTAGTTGCTCATCTGCCTCTCCTTTCAGCATTTAAAAATACATATTTGTGATTTCAGAGAGGAAGGGGGAGGGAGAGAGAGAAACACCAATGATGAGAGAATCATGGATCAGCTGCCTCCTGCACGCCCCCTACTGGGGATGGAGCCCACAACCTAGACATGTGCCCTTGACCGGAATCAAATCTGGGACCCTTCAGTCCGCAGGCCAACGCTCTATCCACTGAGCCACACCGGCTAGGGCAGGACCTTTGCTTTCATTCTACTGATAACCCACTGCTCTCCCCCCAAACCACGTGGCATCATCCATGAAAGGACCACTCGGAGGTGTCTGAGTTTGACAGAAGGGGGTCTCCCTCTCGTGGGGCACCTCCTGGAGTTGAGCGCAGGCGGCCAGGCAGCCACCCACACGCACTGTGCCTCCCAGGACACGACACCATCACAGCCTTCTCTCTTTTCCTCTCCAGGGTCCGATGCCAGCACAATCGAAATCCATATTGCAAGCGGGTCCCGCCAGGCGAACGAGGTTGAAGGTGTTCCCAAAATCCAGGGAGACCTGTGAGAGAGAAGGGGCCCGCCCCCCATCCTCCGACTCTACAGCCCTTGTTCCTCAGAAGTGTTCTCACCTTCCCAGCGCCTCTGTCAAGGTGTCCCTCCCCCCAGGCTCACTCTCATCACCATGTCAGAGCATCTTCCCGAGGGTCCTCTTTGTGAAAAGAGAACCGACTGACGTGCGTGCCCTTGGGAATGGAAGAGTGCCTTGTAGGCCAGTGATTTCTGACCTCTGTGCCACAGGAATATGTACAACACGCATTACCTGACTGTTTAGTCAGGGGCGCCGCCTCTTTCCCTTCGTTTGTCAAATTAAAAAAATGACAACAGCGAACACAATAGCCGTCGGGTGTCATTGAATCAAAAGTTTGGCTATTTTCTTTGTCAGATGGGCAGAATATATATTTTTGGGGGTTGCCACCGAATTTTATGTGCCACAAGATGAAAAGGTTAAATATCGCTGTTCCAGACCAAATGCTCAGCAACTTCTGTACACGCTGTAATGTAATGCCACGTCCAAGTCCCTGGGAAAGTTAATAAAGTCATTGAAACCAGGCTCCCAGTCTGGCTTGGGTTCCTTCTGAACAACACTTCTAGCAAATGCTCTTGGGTAAAGTTATTGATGATGCCAGAAGGGCAGCAAAGTGGAGAAGCAGCTGAGGTGCCGGGCATGTGGATGGGCTGCGCTGCATGTTCTTCATGCACCACAAGAGGGCGCAGAACAGGCAGCTCACATCAGGAATACAGCCTTTGGTCCCAACGTGGGGCTGCCTGTTCTTCATGTACCACAAGAGGGCGCAGAAGAGACGGCTCCCATCAGGAATTCAGCCTTTGGTCCACACATGGGGCTGCATGTCCTTCGTTCACCACAGGAGGGTGCCAAAGAGACGGCTCCTATCAGGAATTCAGCCTTTGGTCTCTGTTGGGCTGCATGTTCTCTGTGCATTACAAGAGGGCTCAGAAGAGGCAGGTTTGATCAGAAATCCAGTGTTTTGGTTCATGCTGTTGGAGATATTTACCATTATTATTCTGAACTCTGTATCAGATAAGTTTCTTTTTAAAAAATATACTTTATGGATTTTCTACAGAGAGGAAGGGGAAGGGATAGAGAGTTAGAAACATCGATCAGCTGCCTCCTGCACACCCCATACTGGGGATGTGCCCACAACCGAGGTACATGCCCTTGACCGGAATCAAACCTGGGACCCTTCAGTCTGCAAGCCTACGCTCTATCCACTGAGCCAAATTGGTTAGGGTCAGATAAATTTCTTATCTCCATTTAATTTATCTCTTCTGGAGAATTCTCTTGTTCTTTCATTTGAGGGTTGTTGTTTTTGTCTTCCCATTTGGGCTGCCTGTTTGGGTTACTGACTTAATTATAACATCATCCTTCAGTGGATTTATACTGCCGCCAGCTACATTGGGGTCCGAGACTGCCTACACTCAGGCCTCCTTTGATCTCCACCATTCTGAACTCTGCTCCTCCTGTTACATATATATACTAGAGGCTGATGCACAAAATTCGTGCAAGAGTAGGCCTTCCTTCCCCAGGCTGCCTGCACCGGCTTCCCTCACAGCCCCAGCTTCGTCCAGAAGGTCACCTGGAAGGATGTCTGGTCTAATTAGGATATTACACTTTTATTATCATCATAATAAAAGGTTAATATGCAAATGGTCATCATGCCGTAACGCCGATCAGCAGGGACCTGAGGCTGTGTAGGACCAGGCCCGGGCGGGGGACCTGAGCCCACGCCCCCGACTCTGTGCTGGGACATGAGGCTGCGTCCCCCGCTTGGCGGGGCTTGACAGGAGTGGGGCCGGCCAGGTCTTGGTGTCGCCCAATGAGGGTGGAGCCGGCTGGACACTTCTATTATAGAGAAAGGGCAAACAGCAATATTAAAATATTTCCTCTAATAAATTCCCTTTTAATGTGCATGAATTTTGTGCACTGGGCCACTAGTAGATATATAATGTGCTAACTGAACAAAAGATCAATGTAGCATACTATTTAGCTATATTCACTTATGTAGAGAAAGTTAATGTTATATTGTAAATAACTTCTAAATTTCCTGAACTGGGTTTATTCTTCATGTGCACAAAGTATTTGTTTTGCCACCCTAACCAGTTTGGCTCAGTGGACAGAGTGTCGGCCTGAGGACTAAAGGGTCCCAGGTTCGATTCTGGTCGTCAGGGGCAGGACCTTTGCGTCACTTCTTAGTGTTCGTGGGGACAAGTCACTTAAGAGCATCACTGCCATTTTCTATTTGGTGAAGTCTCTATTGAAAAGTGTATTTGGCTCAATTTTTTTTTCAAAGCAAAAAACTCCATTATTTCTATATCACGGTTGTGGGCACATCCCCAGTAGGCGGTGTGCAGGAGGCAGCTGATCGATGTTTCTCCCATCGATGTTTCTAACTCTCTATCCCTCTCCCTTCCTCTCTGTAATAAATCAATAAAATAGATTTAAAAAAAGTATCTGTTGTGCCAAAGCGAGTAAAAAGTAAACTGTTCCCTTTTGGAAATGTTATAGTATAAATGGGTATACTATGTCCAATGATCCTATTTGTCTATAGCTCAAACTATAGGTTATTTTGTAAGAAAAAATGATCCAAACCTTTGGTAGATACAATGCAGTTTTCAGAAAAATTTATATTACAAATAAATCTTCCTTAGTTTTCAAGAGCCAAGGCATGTGAGATAGCCTCCCTCCTAGCCAGTTAGGGAGAAACAATCTTGAAAGACAGGAACGCACTTCATTTTCCTGTTTCCCATCCCAAGATTTCAGTTCCTCTTACTCCCTTCTCCTCCCCTTCCCTTTATGGCAGCGGTTCTCAATCTGTGGGTCGCGACCCCTTTGGCGGTCGAACGACCCTTTCACAGGGGTCGCCTAAGACCATCCTGCATATCAGATATTTACATGACGATTCATAACAGTAGCAACATTACAGTTATGAAGTACCAACGAAAATAATTTTATGGTTGGGTCACAACATGAGGAACTGTATTAAAGGGCCAGAAGGTTGAGAACCACTGCTCTATGGTGTGATTGTGTCCCATGAGGTTTGTTTAGAAGGTGCTGACTTTCATCTTAGCGACATGAAGTGTGACAGTGCTCCTTACTATGTTTTACAGGGAGAAGCTTTATAGTGAATATGCTGAGCGCGTTCAGACTTTGTTTCGAGAGTAGGAGAGAGCTGAGGAGAACATCAAGTTACCAGGGCAGAACCTGCAGGTTGGTATCAGGCTGAGGTTCATGGTTAGTTTATTGTAAGCAAGTCTCAAGGAGGAGAGAGAGCCTGTTCATATCTTAGACCAGTGGTCGGCAAACTGCGGCTCGCGAGCCACATGCGGCTCTTTGGCCCCTTGAGTGTGGCTCTTCCACAAAATACCACGTGCGGGCGCGCACGTACAGTGCGATTGAAACTTCGTGGCCCATGCACAGAAGTCGGTATTTTGTGGAAGAGCCACACTCAAGGGGCCAAAGAGCCGCATGGGGCTGCTCGCGAGCCACATGCGGCTCTTTGGCCCCTTGAGTGTGGCTCTTCCACAAAATACCGACTTCTGCGCATGGGCCACGAAGTTTCAATCGCACTGTACGTGCGCGCCCGCACGTGGTATTTTGTGGAAGAGCCACACTCAAGGGGCCAAAGAGCCGCATGTGGCTCGCGAGCCGCGGTTTGCCGACCACTGGGTCAGGGCATGGACCACGCTGGAGGGCCTGACCTGATCACGTGGAGGAGGGAGGCTAGTGGAGGAGGTGTTGCTTTCTGAGGGCAGAGGGCAGTGAGTGGAAATGTTTCCTGAGAGGGGCCAGAGAATGGACTTGGGAAGATCATTGCCAAGCCTCATACGGGCCCGACTTAGGTTAGTGTGTTAGTGACTATGACTCCATCCGGAGACTAGTATGCAATGCGAAGGCAGCGCAGCCGGAGGGCTGGATTTCTCAGGGTGGGCTTTAAGCACCCACATGGACAGAGTGAGTAGGGGACAAGGTAATATATACAGAGCAAAACGCAGCCTCTGTCCCCAGGACAACTGCCTCCTTGTCCCAGGGAGGGACATCCACGAAGGAACGAAATGATGCCACACCCACTCCGGGTGGAAGTGGCCCTGGGACTTCCCATTCTGCAAATTCCTCTGAGTTCCTGGCGGAATCGCGTTCCCAGCAAACCACCGGGGGACAGGAGGAGTCACCGACTTTGACTTTTCCAAATGGCCGGCCGGAAGTCACCCCCCACCCCCCTCCCTCCCGGGTGGAGTCCAGTGAACAACATAAACTGATGAACCAAAAGAGACCCAGAGACATGGAAGCAGGGAAGAGACTGAAACCTCAGAGGGAAGGCAGGCGTGGTGGGTGGGAAGAGATCAGCCAATGAACTTGTAGGCATATATGCATCACCCATGGACACGGGCAATGGGTGGTGGAGGCCTGGGGGGGGGGGAGGTCAAGAGGGGGAAAGGGGGACATTTGTAATACTTTCAACAATAAAGACTAAAACAGAAACACATGCCCTTAGGAGAGTTACCCTTTGCCACACCCGGGCTGCTGTTCCCACATCTGGGCAGCTTCAGCCCCAGTCCCGGAGGCACGCACCCGAGTCTGTGTCTGCTCATCGGGGAGTCGTGGGCCCCAGGGACCGAGCGGGACGAAGAAAGCACACCTACCACGTTCTCTCGTATCAAAATAGAGCGATTTATTCAAGACACTGAATAGGAGCTGCTGATTCTCTTGGAACAATGGGCTACCACACGCAAGGTGATCATTTTTGTAAGAGCGCGTGAGGGTGCGCGGGGTGGGGGGACAGATGCGGACGCGGACATGGACGCGGGCGGACGGGGTGGAGGTGCTGCCGGAGAAGCACAGTTGCTGGCACGTCTGACACAGACGACAAACACCGCAGGAGCCAGAGTTCAAAGCCCTGAGGCGGGGCGGAGGGGACGTTTGTGCATTTGACAAGAAACACGATTTGTGAAGAAAGGTGGAACAGGCTGAAAAGGAGGAAAGTAACCAGAACGAAGCAGACCTGACGTCGGACAAAGTGCACTTCCCCGCCCCACACCGATGTTAGGACAGAAGGAAACTCAAGTCCCCGCCCGGCTGGTGT